TATAGCGTAAACTTTCGTAATTATTACACCTACGTAATACTCCGAACTAATCGTAAATTTTCGTAAGTTTACGCTCGAGTAAAAACTTGCGGAGGTTTACGCCTATTTATTTTTGCTGATGATTATCTTCCTAGCATCTGGGCAGAAAAGAAGAAAAAGCAGTTACGCGATAGATTAAGTCTTGTATCATATATAGTTGCTTTTATAGTATTACATCAGCAGGGCTATAGAATCGTCCAATATTCAGGATGGTCTTATATGTTAAAGTGGCTATTGAATCTTGAATATTACCGTATTAAAGAACATTACAACAATGGCAGAGTAATCTTCATTAAAAGTTCAGAATATACACGAATTGACTATTTCAATTCTGGAGACTTCTATTTTCAGAAAAAAGATGTTAACATAGATTTCTCAGATTTTAATAATAATTGTGAGTACGTGCGCCGAGTTTTCCAGGTTATAGATTCTTTATTAAAATAGCAGAGACAGGTTTTGCTCTGGGTCTTGTGCTAGAGAATATATATTCAAAAAATTATTAAATTGATATACAAAATTTTTTTTATCGCGAATAGTAATAAAATTTCTCGGTGGATACATTTGAATCACTTTATGTGGTGTGGTTCGGGGGTTTAAAACCCATGAAGTCTGCGTTACCTTCCTCCTCACACACGCCCCACATCAAGGATGACGATCACGCCCAAGAAAAAAATGTAACTCTGAATAGGGAGGGAATACTCGGATCCTAGGCCTGCCTCAAAAGGCAAAAAGTACCCCTAAGAAGACTAAACTACAAAAAAAACTAAATATAATAAAGACAATTAACTTACTTTTAGAGGATCGTAGCAAAGGTTATGTACTTATATAAATTTCGAGGTGGATACTTTCAAACTATTTCTTATCTTGTAGCTCAGTAGACTAAACCGCGGGAAGCTCATCGGGTCTTCCTCTCCTCGCTACGTAGACAATTATAGTCTGACAATTGCACCCTCTATAATAGTGTTTTTATAAGCATATAAAGAAAAAATAAATGGAAAAAATATGACATGCTTTCAAGGGAGGGAGTACGCCGTTCCTAAACCATTTAATGCAAATCCCTGCGTCATATTATTTTCTAAGACATAGTCAGAGGCCCTATCGCTTCAATGATAGAAACGAAATTTTTTGCTTGACTAATGTAGAAATAGGTGGTTTTGAAAAATTTCATATAAAAAATGAAAAAAACAGAAGATTTATATAAGCCTTGTGCACAAGGAATGTTTCGAGTTGGTATGTGGCTCGCATTTGGTGATGCATTGCGCATAATTAATGGCATCGATTATCCTTTTATAGATGGTATGTTTGTTTTCAAGAGTGGTTTATTTAACAAGCCCATAAATATTTGTACACCCTCAATAGGTTAGTGTTCGATATTCAATATATACGATTTATAGTGCACCACGATTTTTGCCCCCGCCAATTTACTACACTTCATTTTATCGTAAGTTTAACGTAATTTACACAAAAGTTAACTACTGTTGAATCTCCTAAAACTAATCCTATCAAAATCGATAACCCATCAAATCAATAAAAAAAATAATCTACCAATCCTGCTTCTACTATATAAATCAACTTGATAACCTCTCAATACTGATACAAAACCTGTCCACTATACAAATCTATTTGGGGGTTTGACAGTATATTTATCTGGATATGAATTTCTGAACAGACAGAGGCGCTTCTTCGAAATTAGACTGATATAAACATTTTATATTATAGATATATAAATTTAGTGTATAGGTGGCTTTAAATAAATACCAGTAAACATATTATATCTGTTATTTTAACAGAAGTACGTATGTACAAAAATTCTATCGTGATTCTATTTGATGTTCAAAAAGTATTTAAGTTTCATTATCACATGACTTCGTGGCCCATGGGTCCATGTACTCAATCGAACAATTAATTTATTTACTGATTTATACAGCAATAAAAGTATATTAAATTTATTAATAGAGTAGGTAAAGCTTTATACGATCCAACATTCAAAGCAATAAATATTATTTTTTGTATTTCGCCGGTAAACCTCTCTTCGCAGGTTCAAGATCTTAAATTGAAACAAATTTTAAATAGGGTTCATTCTATCTAAATCATATAAAATCGATTAATTCGTAATTCGTGATAGAAATTAAAAATTTGCAGATCATTTAATATAAAATTGCGGGGTTAATTTTAATTAATAAAAGCTTTTTAATTTGAGATCTGAAGATTTCAAATATTAAAACTATGTCCAAACGCTCTAAAACTAATATAATTTTACTTTCTTCTGGTACTCTTGTTTATAGTTTACACTATGGACCATTTTCTCGATATTGGTGGTATAGTACTACTATAGAAAATAAAATACAACTAGTACCTATTCGTCTTGGTATGACTATTTCAATTTTTCTTAATAGTCAAGAATTTATTATGCGTATAGTTCAAGAACATTCAAACCATTCACAACAACCTGGTTATTACTGTCAAGCTGGAAAATTTTTTAGTAATATTGAAGAATCATGTAGTGCAGCATTAACCTCTTTATATCAACAAATTTTTCAAAATAATCGAAAATTATCTGGACCTTTAGAATTAGGTTTAGATGATGAAAATATAATAAATCAACTACTAGATGGAGTTTTATTTCAACCATTTTTAGTTTCCTTTAACAAATTTCAAATCTTTATATATTCATTAGATAATCAAACAAATTTGACTTTCGCATCATCTCTTGTATATATATATCACAAAAAAAAATGTTTATTTGTACAAACAAGGGAAAAAACACTTTATAAAATAGAAATTTTTGACGGATCAATGCTTATTGCTACATTTGAAGGAAAATCAACTATAGAAGTTTGGCAAAAAATAGGAATTTTACAAAAATTAGATAGTTCTGCACTTTTTGAATTAAATGACGATTATACTAAAAAACAATTGGAATTACATGAATTACCAACATGTCAATCTACTGATTGGACAAATTTTGAAATCATGAATAGGTTGTTTTTATATTATTTAAAAAGACATACACTTTATAATATTAATTGGTGGAGCGTATTTCTTAAATGGGCTCAAAACATAAGTGGAATTATTGAAATTTGGTCTATAATTCGAAAGATTTATCCTTCAGATTATGAATTTAATGATCGAGAAATAAGAGCTTGGCGTGCATTTCTTAAAGCTGCAGGATGTACTAATATTACACCATTTGAAAGTAAAATGTCTAAGGTAATATTTTTTTATATTATAAATAACTTTATAAGAAAGTTATAATAGCTTTTTATTATTTAGTATGAATTTTGGACAAAAGAAATGAATCCTTTACGTGATCAAGAAACATTATATACTTTATATAAAGATGGTTTTTTATGTACAACTCCTTCATATAATCTCTTAAAGCCAATTAATTTTACAAATCGATTAGCAAATTGTTTATTGGATTCATATGAAGCAAATAAAAAAGGTGTTGAAGGAAAAAGAAAAATATTATCAATTATCGCAGATGAATTTTCATTAAAAGAATTAAGACTAATGAAGGTAATAACAAAAAATCTATAGTGTTTTACAAGCGCTTAATTTAACAAGTATATAACTGATTAATTTATCTATTTTAGTTTTTTATGCCTTATCAAACTATTCAAGAAGCACGAAGATTTGCACGAATTAATGGTCCAGGTTGTCCTATAATAGAAAAACCAATTATTCATCGTAACCGATTTTCTGAAGAAGCAAAAGATCAATTTGAAAAATTTTTTTCAGACAAATCGATTGTTAATATGAGCTCTTATAAAATTGATCTTAAAACCCAATTACCAGTACTTTATTTAAAAGATAACAAATCAGCTTTATGGGAAAAATATTCTGAAATCTATCCAGATGGAATTAAACGTACAACTTTCATGACAGAATTAGCACAAGGAAGATTTCAATATCAGAACGATCTTGGTGGTTTATGTTCTATATGCTGTCAATATGGCTATAATGTTTTTAAAGATCTACTTGAACTAATTTCAGTACAAATTAAAGATACTAAATGTCAGGTAATAGAAATTATTCTTATTATAAAAAATAATTTGTTTAAAAATACTTATATATATTTTTTAAAGTCTAGTTTAATTGAAAAGGTTGAAAAAATTAGAAGACATATAAAACGAGATTATGAAAAAGAAATAATACTTGATGCAAATGGACAAGTAATTCATGATCCCTGTATTTCACATTGCTTAGCATATGCATTTGGTGTTTGTGAAAATATACATACTAATGTATGTAAAAAATGTAATGAATTGTGGGAACTATTTCAACAATTACGGCTTAATCTTGATAAATCTTATTTTGAGATATTAGATGAAGCATATGATAAATTGTGTTACTATCTCTCCCATCAAACACGTAAGACTTATCTAAATTCACAATTCTCTGTTAGTCTTCGAGAAATTGATGAAGATGGAGCATTAATAGTTGTTGATTACAAAATGCGCGTTCTTCCTAAATCAGCACGAGAATCAAAAGAAGCATTTTTTGGTAAAAAAGGATGGACACTTCATACAACGCTAGTATATACAAAAAAAGAAAAGAATAAATTAGATATTTGTGCATTTGATCATTGGTCAAATGATACTCGCCAAGATGCTTGGTTCTCCGCATCTTCACTTCACTCTGTAATTACTGCTCTTGAAAAAAAGCCAAAATGGGTCTCTATCATCTCCGATAATGGTGGCCATTATCACAACTCAGAACTAATGATTATTTTAAGTTACTGGTATCAATGGTATAATATTAAAGTCAAAAAATGGATTTTCTTGGAGCCCGGCGAGGCTAAAACTACTATAGACTCTCACCATGCACAGGTAGTTTTATTCTATAATTATTTTTTTTAAAAAAAATATTTTAATAACTCTTAATAGATTGCACATGCGATCAGACATTTTGTTCAGTTAGGAAATGATTTAACAAGCGGAGAAAAAATAGAAACAGCAATTACTCATATTCGTGGAACCTCAGTAGCTCAGTTAGAACCAAATCGGAATACAGAAACTAAAGTCAAAACGCTCACTGGAATTTCTGAATGGTATTATTGGCAATGGCCATGTGAAGGAATTTATGATGGATATATACAAGCACGTGAATTACCTAATGTAGGAAAATGGACAAATTTTTCACCATCACAAATTAATTGTTTAATCAAACAACCAATTAATAAACCTGAACCTGCATGTACATCACATTCTGTACCAAAGGAATCTTGGAGAATTCCAATTCCGGATGCTTCTAGTATTATATTTATTATTGCCTTTTTTTTTAAAAAAAAAAAGCAACATATTTACAAAAATATCAATTATGTAGTACATTTAAATCCAGAACGTATGCGATTATCAGAAATTCGAAATGAATTAATGCAACGAAATATATTATTTGATGAAAATTGTGACCGAACAGAATTAAAAACATTATTACAACAAACCTTGGATGCAGAAAAAAACTCTGGTAAGTTTTACATACTACATCAGAATTTAAAAATATTACTTTTATTTTTAATAAACAAAAGTAAAATTAACAGTTTAATTACATCTCTTTTACTTAGAATTGTTACCACCAAACCAAAATTCTATTAGTTTACCAAATCCTTCAATTCAATATACAAAGTAAAAAAAATTCTATTAAAATTTATTTAAACAATATAAATTTATTAATATATAGACTTTTCTTTTTACATTTAAGCACTATCGAAGAACAATATCCATTACCAAAAGGATGGGCTATAAAGGGGAAACAAAAATTCGGAAAAAAAGGAGGTGCACATATTTCAAAAGAAGTTGCAGATCTATTAAAAGGATATTTTCATGCTGGAAATGCCAATTCTAGTCAACGTTATCAACCAGAGGATATGCTTCGTGCATTAAACAAAAAAGCTGATAATAATGAACTTGATCGTACACAAATACCTAAGCTAGAAACTATACGCAATTGGATATCCAGATATTCAATTGTCATAAAAAAAGAAATAGCAGAAAAAATGCTCACTAGCCTTAATAATAATTCCGAAAAATAAAGATAAATTTACTTTAATAATAGTAACAAAAGAATTACAAATTATATGCTTTGCTAATCATATTTTGCTTTGTAAATTTCTAAGTTAAATCCCTAGAAAATTCGAATAAGAAAAAGCAAATTTTCTTGTTTGGAATTAGAATAGAACCTAAATAAAAGTTATCTGAATAAACTTACAAATAAACAGATATCTGGTTAAAATCATGGTTATTTGAATAGACTTATTGAGCAGATTAAACAGATAATTACCGGATAAAGGATATTCGAATGCAGTCGAGACAGATCATTTTTAGCTTTAACTCCACAATGATAACAGTTGCCAAGCGTGAATACCCATATCAGCAAATTTTTGATAGTTAATATCTTCAACTCGAATTTTATATCTATACGAAATTCATTTTCTTTACAGATTTATAAAATCATTTTCAACATCAACTTTTACCTTATAAACATTTACTAGGTGCAGATATTCTATCAGAATCAACCATATCTGTGGGCGTTTGATCGTGCATAAATGCTATGTCTTCTCAAATTAAAACTCTATCCAACGTTATTTGTTCTATTAGCATTTTTTGTCTTTGCAAATTTTAATAAATGCTTATAATTATCAATTATACTTAACGACAGTTTTCAATTGAGATACTCTATCAGAATTACCCGTATCTGCAAGTTTTTGGTAGTGCATGAATGTGCCTAAATCAAGTTATATTTTCACATTGTGCGTCCCAATTAGAGTTTCCCGTCTCTGCAGATAATGAATGTCTTATAATCATCAACTTCAACTCAATTTTAATAATAGTGCAATTCTTCTATCGAAATGGGTCTAGGTCAAAATCCTGAAAGTTAATTGTCGCATCATGTGATGTCGGGTTCCAGTACTCAAACCCCGCTTATGATTAATAATCATTATTATTACTCATAAGCTGGGTTTGAATACCGGAACCCGACATCACGCGAGCGACAATTAAATTTCAAGATTTTGACTTTCAGGATTTTGACAGACCCCATCGAAATCACCCATCTCAATAGGTTTTTGATAATGTATGAATGCTATAATTTTGATATGCTTATTAATCGAGCAAAAAAAATGATAAAGTATAAATGAAAGTTAGATTACGATTTTTTTTTTCGAGAATGACAATTCAAATTTAAAAAGTTGTATTAATATCTCACATATTTCCGGCTTATATTCTATTCCATAACAATGCCCAACATTATGCGTTTTCATAAAGAATTTTTAATAATTAGTATACATGGGTGCCTAAATTGCCCATCTTATAGCTGTTCTCATAAATTCTGGGACAATGAAAGATTTCTGATGACCGAATTCGATAAGTTCTGAGTTCGACCGAAGTCAGTTACCTATTGATTCCGATTCTGTAACTTATCGAATTCGGCCATCAAAAATTTTTCAGTTGTCCCAGAATTTATGAGAACAGCTGTAAGGGGATTTTATACTAAGTCTTCTGTTTATAAATAAAGCTATTCTCCGGACCAAGACGATTCTAATGGTCAAAAATAATCCAGTAGAACGTTTACAATTTCTCTTCAAAGTTCGGATGACGTTTGTTTATATTTCGCTTACATGGTCTGCAGATCATGTAAAAAAAAACGAAATGCCGCCAGAACTTTGAGAAACAATTGCAAATGATCTACCAGACCAATTTTTATGATTTTACCACCGTTAGAATCGTCTTGGCCCGGAGAATAATTTAGAACAGAAAGTAGACTTGCTTTGTAAAAAATCCGATACGACTATACCCAGGAGATGCTTATTTTCGGATATTATGCAAAATTTTGTGGTGCTTAATTTTGGAATGGTACGGTATTCAATATTGGAATATCAAGGTATGATTATATAATTGTATAAATCAATATCGCAGCCTACTTTTGGTGGTGTAAATAGGTGGTTTTTTTTTTTCTTGGAGACTCTAAATTAGCCGATTTGCATGCCATTGGTTAGACTAGTCAAAATATTATAACAAAAAGATTGCTAAGTTGAATAGAATAAGGATTTTTGCAAATCGAGAGTATGAAATACCTATTTTAAAATCCGTACCATATTAATCTGGTGTTATACATGTTGGCGTCAGAGTATAACAAATCAGTTTAGCATGCACAGGTTGAATCAATGAATAACGGATACGTGTCGGGAGACAAATCTCCCGATATGTACCCGTTATTCTACCATAGATCCGCCAAATAACTGTAACATATCAGTAGCATATTGGTAGCATATAGGTTAGATATCGGGAGGTAGAACGATAATGGTAACATAACAGTAACATACCGGGACATCCTGGTATCTTACTCTTAGCACTATTTGGACTAAGAGTAAAATACCGGGATGTCCTGGTATGTTACTGTTATGTTACCGTTATCGTTCTACCTTCCGATATCTAACCTATATGCTACCACTATGCACTGATATGCTACAGTTATTTGGCGGATCTATGGTAGAATAACGGGTACATATTGGGAGATTTGTCTCCCGATATGTACCCGTTATTCATTGATTCAACCTGTGATGGTTTTTCAGAATTACTAATTCGAACCATCTAGTCACATCAAATCTGTGCCACTTATATATCTAAATCACGAATAAATATTTGTATTAGCTAAACGTCTTGTGTTCTGACCATTTGTGTGGCAGCATGTTCGAAAATTCTTTTTCGGTTGATACTTGGTAAATAAGCAAAGATTCATAAAAAAAAAATTATAACTTTGCAAACCTTACCTAAAATTAAAAAGTTATGCACCCTTAGCGATTTTAGATATTTTTAGATAGCTTGCACAACACAGCAATATTTAAAATCATAAAATCCCAAACAAAAAAAACTTACATGTTTAAAAAAATTATACAGTTAGACCTCTCTAAATGCAATGCAACGGACCTTATGTAAAATTAGCCAAATGTGCACTTAGAGAGGTACTGCATTTAGGGAGGTAAGAATCTATAAGCGCAATATTAGTTGGGCCAAGAGAAGGCGTGCATTTAAGGAGGCTTTTCATAGGACGTGCACTTAGAGGGGGTTGCATTTAGGGGTCTGACTGTAGTAACAAACTGTTATAGCGAAACTATTTTTTGATCTGAATTTCAAGCATGTTGTGTAAGTATAGTTTTGACCAGTACTATAAAGTTATTTGATATTCTACTTGGCTCAAGTTAAAAAAAAATTGAGATTTAAAAAAAGAAATCTACACTTGCCCCATAGTAAAGTCATAAATTGTCAAGAAAAAAAATAAACTAATCTTTACAAATTTAAAGCGTAGTTGGTCAGAAATTTAACTATATGATTATAATATATATATATAACAATAATGTATTTGTGTAACTATTGAAGTTTGATTTCGATTAAAAAACTTTAGTAATGATCTTCCCCCAAATTTTACTAATTGATTTTTTAATTTCTATCACGAATTACGAATTAACTTTAATACTGTTATAATCTGGATATGAGACTTCGAATGGATAGAGTTATACATATTTAATATTTACTGAATACTGTTTTTTTAAATCTTTTTTGTGTGAAGTAGTAGGTAATCCCATCCTAGCTTCGAAATTCCGCTTATGTTCTAAGAAATCTACTTCATTCATATTTTTACGTTTATCTTTCCAGTAATTATGGTTACCTTGCATTTCAAAGGCAATATAATATCGCCATTTATCTAATATTTGTTTCAGGATTTTTTTAAACCTTTGTTGCAATAGAAGAATGATAGAATCTATATCTGCTTCATTTCTGATAAGAATTTCTGAGGTGCGGTCATTAAGTGTTAGATTAGATTGAGTATTTACCTTAGTCTCCGGTAAAGATTTGTTATCCTCACTTATCATATTTTTTGAATTAGAGGTGTGGGGTAATTCAGTAGGTATACTTGCCTTAATATTTGATATATCTTTCGAGCTAGACGGTTTAGTCACGTGTGCGTTGCAATTTGTAACGCCGATCTTTTCTTGATATTTGACAGAAGAATCATCTACACTAATATTAGAAAAACAAGTTATAATATCTTGAATTTGGTTGTCAGTTAAACTCGAAATTGCACTTGCACTACATGTTATTGCTTGAACCTTTTCTACTCCTATTCCCATAAGTAATGTATAAATTTTTTTCGCCCTGAATGTTCTTTGACGCAAATTTATATCATTGATATCTGGAAGAAGTGCTCTTATCTCATTATATACCAATGTCCTTGCTGATTGGTCATCAATTTTATTTATACGTTTAATGTCCTCAACTCGATCCTCATATGCTTTATAGTAGCAATACTAGCATAAAATCTCTTTTTGTCTAACTTTCATTACTATAATAAACAAATCGGCTATATTTTGTGCTGTAATTTTGCTAGATCCTATTACGATTGCTTCTAGTGAGAATTCGGGAATTTGTAAATCAAATACTTCACTAACTTTATTATTATTCTCTTTAATGAACAAAGATAGGTCGTGCCTTAAGTCTTGCTCGACTCTTTTATTATATAGAATTTTGATTCCGGTATTTTGTGCTTGATCAGTAAGCATTGATTCTGATTGGGTATGCTCATGGGTATCGATAACAGGATTTATCTCATTTTGTATATCAGAAGAAGAGGAAGATATATTTTGCATTGATCCTTGACTCTGAAGTTTCTTTTTTCTGTTTCTCTCCCTTACTACATTACTAATATTTTCTTTATATACAAATTCAAGAATCTCAACTGAATTGTCATTGATAATATCCTGTGATAAAGAAGATTGGAATGTTTCAGATTCTGCCAACAATTCAGGTTTTGTCAAACTATGTTCTAGTTCGGGAAAGAGATTAGGATTAATGTCTCTCTCCTTGTCAGACTGGCCCTCGATAGGTAATTGAATGGATAGTGACCCTTTAGACTCATCACTTATTTTGAAAGAGATAGGAATTTGTGCCCAGATCTGGGTATTTACTGATAATTCTGAACAAGCCATAGACTGCAAAATATCTTTCATAGAAGACGCGTCTAGGTCATTAGTGATAATTTGGGTCTGCTTCTGTTCCAATTTTGTGACTCTATCTTTAAGCTCAGCATTCTTGGCAGTAAGCTTAGCAGTATCTGTTTTATGTTTCTTTTCTAGCTCTTCGAACCGGATCTTAAGCACTGCATTTTCTTCTATAGCCTGTTTCAATCTTGTGTTCTTAGCTTTGACTTCAGCATTCTCCTTTCTAAGTTCATCGATTTGAAGAAAGAGCTTAAGATTTAACTCTTTCAATGTATCGATTGGAGATTTTGTGCTTGCCATTGTTTTATATAAAATATTAATTATTCAAAAGTTTAATCACGTACACGTATAAAAAATGGTTCATTGATGTTTGATTATCACGTGATACGCGCTATCAAATAAAATTTAAAAAATTGCCATTCATTGATACGCGTTCACCATGGAATATTTTAAAAAAACTTCACCTGAAAATTTTCGGTTCCTAGACTTTTACAGGTACCGCCAGAAGCAAGATGATTTTACCCGATCTTTTAGAGAAGAGTCTGGCATTCTCTGGCGTTGTTTGAAGTCATTGGTGAAAGATGGAACACCTCAAGTCAAAGAGAACGCTGTCCGTTTGCAAAAATCTTTTGAGGCAAGTGTCTATTTTTTCTCCTTTTGATGTACGAGTTGTAGACAGGTGTGAGGCTTGCTACTGAAGTCCCGAGAAGGGGTAACATACTTCCATGGCTACGGCGGAGGTTCAACCCGCTTTATGGTGGTTTCCCGCCATGTTTCATAATTATTGTGGAAGTAGGAGTCTCATTTGCAGTCCTGAGAAGGGGTACATACTCGCACAACTACGGCAGGGGGTTCAACCTGCCTTATGGTGGTTTCCCGTTGTGATCTGTCTACACTATTTTACGATTGTAATGGTTTCCTTTATAACATATATCAATATTAATTTCCTCTATAACTGCATCAGAGACATCGAACGAAATTTGAGGACGTTCACATATTTTGGCAACAAATTGAGAATGAAACGTCGATTGATAATGCTGAGGTTTGATTTGTTGCTTACCAAATATTTCATTTATAACCTTCCTTTTACTAAAATCGTTTAATTCATAGACGGAAGTAGCTTGCAAGTTCATACGCAGATCTTCTAGAGTCATTGATGTGGCGCTTACCAATGTCGAGGAGAAGATGGTATAAATAATTTTGATCTAATATTTTGACTAGGAATACAAATCGACTTACTCTGTCACGTTTTCTTGTAGAAACAAAATCGGAAGCATGCAGATAAGGTCATAACTTAAATTTATTTAACAAAAAAAAATATCTTTTAACCTTCCACTTAGTTGAAATATATATCTTCTGATTATGAATACAATACCCCTTGCGATTTCTTTTAGGAAGGAGAATGTTCTACAAGGAGACTCGGAAATAGTGCATCCGATGATTATGATATCAATTTAAGTGAAACTGAATTTTCTGACATGGATTATGAAGAGAAAGTAAGTTAATACCAATGTGTAAGAGATGAGATATTAATCAACATTAAAAAGCGTCTATGTAATTTTTAGCAGGAGTCCGATAAAAGAAAACTGAGTGAATCCGATGTAAGTTGACATCGGATGGATTATTTAATATGCAAAATATTGTGACCAAAGTAATCTATTTTGTTATTAGTATGAACCAAGTAGCAGTCCTATTTCCTCTGATTCGGGCAATGATCGAAAAAAAAAGGTAAAAATGATGTTAAAAAGTGATAATATAAACCATTATTAAGACTTTACACATAATTTAGCAAAAGATAAGCAAACAAAAACAACCAAAAACAGTGAGTCATGAAAGAGATTATTGCAGTAGTGTATGTACATTGGATTTATTTTATTGAGATTTCTTTGGAGATAATATCGTTGAATACTAATTCATCAACCGTCGCGAATTCAGACCAATAAGAATGATGATAATCCAGCGCCTGCAATAATGATGACTGGAGGTGACGTAGAATCACTTCCTCCACTATCATCATTACTACCCATTCCTCCGCTTCCATCGCCATTATCACCACCACCCGGTTCTATAAATTCTATACTAAACAATATAATAATACCAAAAGATTTACCAACGTTAGTAAATCAAGATCAATTATCGCTTTCATTTACAAACCCTATCATCCAAACCCCTGGGACTCCACCGCCAAGGCCGAATGTCAATAATATACAGATTACTCCTCAAAAGTTGGTGCTTTTTAAGGAATCCGTTACCTACCTACAAAATCATATAAAGATAAATGTAAATGATCAAGGAATGATCATAAAAGACAATCATACTTCGGAAGAAATCTCTGGTATAATTCGTAATTGGCTCATAATGGCATTAACGGTAAGTTATCATAAATTTCTTTTTAGATAGTAAAATGTGTATATTAAAATTTTTTTACTCTAGTCACCGAAAGAGGAGTTTGTAAAAGCTATCATGACTCCTTTAAGCTCAGAAGCAAGTCCAAAATATTGTGATTTTCGTCAAATTTGCGAGCTTATTCTTTATGATTTGTATGTGAATTGTTTTACTCACATTTTTTTTGACATCATAATATTACTGATATGCATGTTATTTTATAATGATTAGTTATTTTATGACAAAGAAGGGTCCTTTAAAAAGAGATATTGGTGAGCGTACGTATATTGTCGAAAGGATCGTTCCCCTGTTCAAATCAATTCAATCGGTATATAATGAATACAAATTTCATTGGATCGAAGTTGAATTGGATTGTATGAGGGAAGTGAAGAAGATATTTCCCAAGTTTGATTTACCTATATACCAGGCTGATGGTCTTGGAGTACGGAATTCGAGTAAAAAGGATGTTGTTTTTATCGAAATATTGGGTGGGCCCGAAAATACAGATCAAAAAAAATTAAAAGAAGATTCAGAAAAGCTTCTGAAAGAAGCTGTATTCGGACTTGTTTCCCTATTACGAAATTATTTGGATAAAAGTGTCGAAGAATCGAAGCAATTATACACGTTCATGATTCAGGGCATCGGTAATTTATTTGTCATTCATTAACTATTTTTAAAACATAAATCTTACATAGAAATACTTGTTAGGCGACCGGTTAACGCTCAGTAAATTATGCTTAATAAATAAGCATGTTTACAAAGTTTCGCAGATCAAATCTGCAACCCTCCCATTCGAATTCATTGATGTGGCGGATTATTTAGCAGTATTTGAATTCCTTTATATTCTTGTAGTAGGTATGCTAATACATTCATTGGATATTGCACAACTTCAATATAACATTCATACTTAATTTTCAGAGCGAGCTCAAAATTCAAACGGAGGTAATTAATAAATTAAGGTTATCTGAATCGGCTGATGGCGTAATTGTACCAAGAATTCGTGATTGGATTTGGCTGCCAGATTCGATTTCTGCATGGGAATGCAAAGAGATTCAAAGTGAAAATCTATGAATTACAAGCGTTAGTCTATTAATTTCAAATAGTCACACATATAATTCAAATTTAGATCATTTCTCTATCCAGAAATGGGTGTCTTGTGCATACGAAATAAAAAGTACGTGCGCGTTACAAATTGTAACGCTGATCACTTTTGCCAAGAAAAAAAAATATACGTACATTTGCTTTATTGTTGCAAATAAAATATAAAGTACATAGGTACTGGTATGTACATACAAACATGTGTCATGAGACGATTAATTGAATTTTAGAAAATAAGTTATGACGATATGCCTTCTAGATAGTACAGATAAATTTTACATGCGGAATTTATTCTAACACGCTTATTTTTATTTAACGTTAATCATTCGAGAATTTTTACATTCACATCGCTTATATATTCCATTCGCTACTTTTTTACAGGTCTTACAATATAGATGTGAATGATGGTTGCATTCGTCACAAACCTTACACCCATGCTTCCACCCTCTAAAGATATGCCACTTTTCAAAGTAATTTTTATTTGTATGCATGTTATTCGGATTTTTCATTATTATTATACGTATATTAACAGAAAAAATATAACGTGGCTAAAAATAAGCCTGTAATGTTTATGCCCCGCCTCACATGCATAAACCTTAGGTCAAGATCCGTACATGTTGATTGAATGCCTATCGCTATATTTAACAATATTGCAGTATTGGTAT